CTAGTCTCTTCACTATGCACCAGGGAGTAGGCCTGAGATAGGGTCACACTGTCTCTTGTCAGTATCTGTTGTCTCACAATGTCATAATCAGAATTCAGGCCAGCCAGAAATTCAAACACCCTATTGGTCTCGACTTGCTTTCTATGGGTCTGTGCATCTTTTGAACTTTCCCACTCAAGAGTCTCCAGATGGTCAATTTCATGCCACAGAAATTTCAAGGTAGAGAAATAAACAGCGACTGGTTTCTCTCCTTGTTTGAGGTTATTTACCTCACACTTCAGTTCATAGGCTCTAGCAACATTAAGGGGTTGGRAGTAGGTCTCTTTCGTGACATCCCATATCTCCTTGGTTGTCTTTGCCCACAAGTAATTTCGGATGATATGTGGCTGCATAGAGTTGCACAGCCATGTCATAACCAAGTAATTCTCCTGAACCCACTTGGTATACGTTGGGTCCTCCTTGGAAGGTTCTTGCACATCTCCCAATATGTAGCTAAGTTTCCCCCTTCCCCCAATAGCCATCATGGCCGATTGGGCCCATTCCAAGTAATTGGATCCGTCAAATCTCACAGTTGTAATCTAAAACGCAGTCTCAGACATATTACCAGAACTGTTGTTCCCAATGACACCTTCCCCCTGATTTTTGAACTCCATTCTTGGTTAAGAATCAGTAATTAAGAACTATTAGGGCTACTGCAATAGAAAACAACACTTAAATAATTGATCACAGTCAGAAAACTGTATGAAATCAGTTCAGATCTGATCTGAAACCAATCGGCAGTCAGAATATAATCAGTCCAATAACAGTTCTCACCCCCAAAACAGGCTCAGAAGGCGAAACAGGTCTAGAACCACTTAGAAAACAACCTGTAATGCTGAAGCAGAATTAGGGTTTTAATCGTAGGGTTAGGAAAACCTTTGTGAGACCATAAACAGTGCTCAGCCGTACCTTCCAAAGGATTTACAATCAAATCTGGCCGTAGGGTTAATGACAAACCCTAAAAAACCGATCACCTCTGAGAAAATAAAGGAGAGTTCGGCCGCTCCACTTAGATAGGTCCAACCTATCTTGTCTGACAGCAATCTCAAGGGAAAAATAAAACTTACCCAGAAAACTCTGATCACTACCTTCAATCGTGGCCTGAACCCTAACCTTCTCTGGTTCTTCCTGATTACCAAAACACTCTCCAAATCTCTACAAGCCTTTGGTCAGCTGATAAATCTTTCTGGTAACCTCCAAGAATCAGCCAACAAACAGTCCTTTGTAAGCTTCCAGCCCTAGACAGTTCTCATGTGGTCGGTTGGACTAGACACACATGAGAAACCCTAGATAGGCTCTGATACCAAGTAGTCGATCAAGACTACAGTCAGTCTTGGATTCCAAAGGATTTCAGATTGAGAAAAGTGGAAGGAGGAGGGAGAAGAAGAAGAAGAAGCAGAAGTACACAAG